CTTGAAAATCAAGGTTTCCAGTTCCAGTCCGGATCCGGTCTAAAACTAGGGCGAACCTGAAACCCGGTAAATTGTTCTTTTTTTTTTAAAAAAAAGATAACTTTTATTTCAAAAATCAATAACTTTTCATTTCTAACCCTAACCCTAAGTTCCCTAACTCCCTCACTCTCTCTGTCTCTCAGAGTCTGAGCCGACACCCTCCCAGGCCCAGCCTCCCTCCCTCACTCTCTCAGGAGACCACCACGTCCACCAGACGCCCACCGCCCTTCTGCACGCTGCATCAGCCACCGCGCGAAAAATCCGGGCATTATAAGTTTGTTTTGTTTTTTTTAATGTAAATCTAATTATATTTGGGTATTTTGTATTCGAAATATTGAATTAAGTGTGAGAATTTATATGTTTATTCATGTTTCAATTGCTTATAATGATTGTTTGATGTTTGCATGTTGAATTTCTTTTTTTTTTTTAGTTCATTTCATTCGAATTCATGTTTTTTTTTTTTTTTTTGGTTTTTTTGAGTTTAAATAACTGTTTTCGATTTCATTTAGTATTTTAGTTCATTTGTTTCGAATTCTTGTTGAATTTTGGTTTCTTTCGAATTGTGAATTTAATTTCTGTTTTTTCTTTTTATTTTTTTTTTATTTTGGGGGTGGAGGTATTCGGGGCTGGGTGCTCTAATGGTGATGATTCTTGAGGTGGGTCGAAGAGTAGAGCAACGAAATGGAAGGGGAAGATGAACAGGGTCTGATTTTTGTTTACTTTGTTTCATTTTCTTTTATTTTCCTTTTCTTTTAATTATTCTCCTTTTTCCCCTTTTCTTAATTCCTTTTTTATTTATTAGTTTTTAAGAGTTTTATTTCCCCTAATATACCCCTAGTGAAAAAAAATATATATATAAAAATACAATTTATTTTGTAATTGTGTTCAATTCAGGGATTGATGAATTGGACCCCTTATTATGTTTTTTTTTGTTAGGGTTTGCTTCATAATGCTAAATTGTAATCAAGTAAAAGCTTCTTTCTTTTGAAAACAAATAGAATTGATCTTTTTTTTATGGGTTTGTGGATGATTGTTATTCATTACTATTTCCATTAGATTTGTAGGTGAACTTATTTATTTCGAAGACATGGCTTCAGTTTCTGGTAAAGAAAAGAAAGAGAGGGAGAGAATACTTTCTAGAAAAGGAACAACTGTAAATCCAACAAAGCCGCCTGAATTTGGTAAGCCCTCTTCATTCAAAATTTTAGCGTTTCCACTTCACCCCGCTTCCCTTATTTCATGAGATTTGCAAATTATATTCACTCACTATGTAATTAGATATTACATACACTTATAGAGTTATAATCGTATGAATTGATGATTATTCATTCATATTTCCATATTATTTTTTCATCACTGTATGTTTGGTTTTATGGTATAAGTGATAGAATTTTTGCAACGTTTTTGGAGAAAATAAAGACATTTTCTTGAAAAGTTAAATCCCAATTTTATTTTTTATTTTTTATTTTTTTTGCCCTGTTTGGTAAACAGAGGTTTGGGGTCAATTAACGGATTGAGGCTATATTAACCGTTAAAACATTGAATCCCCTCATATGGTAAATACTAAGGGTTTGTTCTCTTCCGCTTCATTTCAGTTCACTTTAGCTGCAATCAGTTTAGTTCAGTTCCTAATTTCCTTCTCTCATAACAATTCAGAATCAGTTTAAATCAATTCAATCTGTTAAATTATTTTCAGTAAATCAGCTAGCCCCTAAGTAGTGTTTGGAATAGTGGCTTCCATCCATTCATTCTGTTGGTCAATAGAGAGGTTTGAGTTACAATGCCCTTGTCTTATCTTCAAAGTTTTCTTCTTCCTCAACCCTAAAAAAATTGCCCATAATTTGCAAAAATCTACAACTACTTATATTTGAAAACAAGTATATGCTTTAATAATAGTTTATACTTAAAAGAAAATTACATGCTTAAGTAGAGTTGTTAGAAAATAATATCAATATAGTGAAATCAATTTTTTCAAATAGATTTACATTAAAGAAAACACAACTATCAATTCACCTGAAACATAAAATTACCATCTCATATAAGAGGGAGAATAGATGTGGGATATAGAGGGAAGACAAATGAACCTTCGAGAACTTTTGTTGCATGTGAGATTTAAACAGTTCAAGATCTTGCTTAAAGCTATTATATATGTGAAGGACAAAGAAAAAAAATTGCAAAGAGAAACAAAATTGAAGATGAAAGAAATGAGGCAAACAAAGTGAAAATATGGGTGCAGAATCGAAGATGGACTACTAAAGAAAACAAACAAGGGTGAACTAAGGGGTGGGGATGTGGGCTTAGGAGGAAGATGAAGAGTGGTAAAATACAAATTAAAATATTTAGCATTCTAGCATAATTATAATTTTGATGTTTAAGATATTCTTTTCTATTTATCTATTGTATAAGTGTTTTGTTTTAAAATTGTACTATATATATATATATACTCTAAAACTAATTGTGCTAAACAACAAATGTTTATTTTTGTTTTTGTTATTTTACATACTTAGGAAGCAACTAACTAGGTTATACCAAACACATGAGACATGAGTCACATGACTATATTTTTTTTCGACATAGATGGTCTTTTGATTTCAATGTTAGTTTATTTTACACTCCCTTTGTTTTCTTTATTTATTATTCTTTTAATTATAATAATAATTATAATTATGCATCACTTGCCTTATTCAAGTGTGTTTTTTAATGCATCACTTTTATATTAGGTAACTTTATACCATATTTTATTATTCTCTTTTCCCTATTACCCCACCTAATATGTTTTTATCCCCTTCTCCTTGTTCCTCATTTAAATGATTAAAAAACTACTTTCTTACATACTATTTCTTTCATGGTTCATATGGTACTTTTATCAAAATAAATTAATCATCTACCTTCTCCACTTGTACAATATAATAATAGAGCAAATAAACTCTCTTAAAATTAGGGTGAATGGAACTGATGCATTTTTTTTAAAAACGGAGGGAGTATCTAAAAAGTTCACTATTTATATAATTAACAAAAAGCCAATTATTTTGCCAATAGGTCAATTTGTTCTATCAATTACAAAGTAGATTGCTAGATTTACCCCGTTTTTTTTTTTCAAATTGTTATTGCAATAAGTTAGTTAAATCAGAAACACCCTTCGTTTCTAAGTAGTTGCATCACTTTGACGTGACTTTTTTATAAATATATACAAAACAAATGTTATTATACAAAAGGAAAAATTGGCCGCAACAACACCAAATATGACAAAGGTGCATGTAGTATCACAACCTTTCGAGGGAGCACTCCACATCACAAACTATGCACTTGGTGTATATAACAATATAAATGACACCGACAAAACTGAGATTTCTTCAAAAAGTGGAATCTTCAATAGTTTTAATGCTTTTTATACATTTTTTTTTAATATATTTTTGTTTGATTTCATCCTACTTGATTTTCTATCTCACGTGACTAAGTAGTCCTCTCTTCCATTAATTATTTTTCTTTAAACATTTTTCAACCTCCACCATTAAAGAGGATTATTTCAAATAAAAAATCGCCATTATTTTCCTTCGTTAGCTTCTTCGGTTACTTTTTTTTTTTTTTTTTTTTCCTTACACCTCACATGATTGACTTAGTTTCCTCTTCCACTGTATTTAATTTTCTCCCTTTAAATTATTATTCCCTCTGTTTTGTAATAATCGTAATAATAGAGAGGGGAAAGGTTTAGGAAAATTATAGGGTGGGATCAAATGGGGAATTTTATAGTATAAAGTATAGTTAGAGGGAATATATTTAATTGTTAGTAGGAAAGAGAAATAATGAAAAAGTAGTGTAAGTGGGGCTGGGAGGAGAGAAACATAATAAAATAGTAGTGAGTCATTAACAAATAAGGAAGTGTTGCAATTATTATGAAACGGATGAAAAAGGAAAGTGTTGCGATTGTTACAAAGCGGAGGGTCCCTCAACCTCCACCATTAAAGTGTTCTACATCAAAAACCAGAAAATCAATTTGGCTTAATCCTAAAGTCTAATTCTGATATTGTTGTTTGAATTAAGTATTTTGAAGCATTTTGTGGGGCTTGGTATGAGAAAGTGACTTATGTATCCTGAAATTTGGTGGAATGAAATGGTTTTCGGATGATTTTCTTTTATTTATCAATTTAGTATTTGTCAAGTGGAGAGGGAAAGGAACCAAAGTCAATCACGTGAAATCGATATTTAAAAATAAAAAAGTAACAAAAGAAACGAACGAAGAAACTAATAGCGTTTTTTTTATTGAAGGAATCCACTTTGATGGTGGAGGTTAAGAAGTGTTTAAATGAAAATAACTAATAGAAGGGAAGGCTAATTTAATCACATGTGATGGAAAATCATGTAAGTTTTTTTTTTTTTTTTTTGAAGAATAATAAAATAATGAAAAATCAACTTTTCACATGGAATCTTAGTTCGGTGGTGTCATTTATGTTGTTATGTGCACCCAAGTACATAGTTTGTGATGTAGACGCATCCTTGAAAGGTTGTGCTGCCACATGCACCTTTGTCATAGTAGGTGTTGTTGCGGCCAATTTTTTCTATATAAAATGTCGCTGGATTAGTCATAATGTAAAAGGTTAGGCATTGGTAAATTTGTAAGTAAAAAATGATGCATTTATTTAGAAACAGTGGGAATAATACAAATTGCTATTTAAAATTTCAAACCAACTACTACAAATTGCTTTTCAAACCAACTAGTATAAATTGTGACTTGCGAATTGCCAAGGCATCACGTTCATGTTTTTGGATAGTCAGTCATATGAATAGAGTAGTTTCTTGCCTGTAATTCTTTCCGATTTCCCAACAAGTATTTCATTTTCAATTTTTCATATGTTTAATTGAACTTAATTATTTTCTTTTACTTTATTTTTTGAATGGTTTACAAAATGTGTGATTCTTGTAGGTGGACCTAATCCTCTAGATTACGTAGAACGATCCCTCTATGAATCATTTAAGGATCTAGAGAAAGAATTTCAAGATCCACTCTATGAAGAACAGCAAAAGAAAGAGAGAATGGATAAAGGGATTGACGGTCATCGTGTGCATATTAGATCTGAACCAGTGATTGAGGTTCTTTCTGTGAGTCTCTGCAACCTAAACCAAAACGATTGCACTTTGAACGCCAGCAACAAAGACGCATGGGAGATCTATGGTACTGTTTATGTCCATGATGGTATGGATCATATGGGTATAGGCAGCAACCGTATTGTTTTTTTTTCATCGAGAGGAGGATGTTGATGACCCGGAGATCATCCCTTTGGTTGGTGGTGCCTTAAGCCTAACTGGGCCTGATAGTGTTATGTCAATGGTTAAACCAGTTATTGGCATACATTTTATCAGACAAGCTTACAGGTGAAACCCTCATTTTTAACTATGCTCCTTTGCTCAATACTATGGATACGGCCGGACAACATCATCAGTTAGAACAATTCCACAAAATTACTGTTCCTGGTACTGCTTGTAGTGCTGAGGTGGAGTATCTTGGTCTAACATTTGGTGTTTATGCCCATGTCAAGGTCCAACTCGCTAAGCAACAAGTTGTGAGAAGTGTAAGCTATGAAGAGGATGAGGAAGATGAGGAATATCTTGATATTTATGGGACAATTTCTGCTGCATATAATCTTTATTATTCAGAAAACAAAGTTGATTGCATTAATCTTTTTGAAATCAAGGAGGATTCTGACAAGTCTGAAAAGGTGAGAATTAGGTTTCCTGTTACTAAAGTTACACTGTCCAGATCTGTGGTTGCTGTGCCTGCGTATTCACTTCTCACAATTCAAATGAAATTATGGGATCGTGCTAAAAATGAGTTAATTGTTGAGGGCAGCTATGACTTTGAAACGTGTAACTATCCTACAGATATGATTATTGTTGGCCAAAATTGTATAGATGCTAAAGTGACTATTCATTGGAGGGAACCATTTCGTCTGGATGAACCACTTATCAAACAGCATGAATTTGACCCTCAGGAATCCCTCTCTATCCTGGTAAATGTCTGTATTTTTTTTTTTTTGTTTTTATCATTTTCATTTTAATATCATTTGGCTTTTCCTTTATCACTTTCAGCTAGTCTTGGATGTAATTACTGTTTCAATGCTGACTTACTCGCATTTATGTTCAGCCTAACTCACCAAGTATTCCAGTGTTTCCTGTAGCAGAGGTGTTTTCTGTATTTATCGCCAAAATGAGGAGCAGTTGAATCTCTATGGCATGGTTAACTTTTGCAGCACCTATGGCGTATTTAATCTCTTCAAAAGAGACAAAACTGATCCTGTTATCTTATCCCCTGGCTGCAATTTATTACCTCTAAAAGGCCCTGGAGATGCTCTCATACCAGGGGACAGTTTTTATGTGTCAGTAGACCTTGAGGATGTTGAGGGTCGTGTGTCGATCAAAGGGCTAGCTCACTCGAGTGTTGGAATTGATAAACATTTGAGTTTTTGGCATGATTGCCTCTTATGCTCAGTTATAAGAAGTGTGCAAGAGCATAGCTTTGCGGCTATACATTACACGGTCTTCTCTCATGCATTGAAGGCTACACTAAAGATTCGTTTCCTTTTCAATGGTGAACATTCTACTCAAGCTTGTTGCAAAATTTATGGTAATCTTGTTGTTAGCTATGGTGAATATGGGTACGAAACGCCTTATGAGAAATTATATCATCGGATTGTGCTTTTTGAGAGGCCAGAAGAAGATGTTTTAGAAGTTCCATGCAAGGATTTTGATATGGAGCTGCTTAGACCCGTCGTTGCTGTTCCACATGATTCCTTCTTGCGTATTGCAATAATTTGAGTTGTCAATCAAGTGGTCTTACACAACTCTTGAGGGACACTAAGGAATTTCATGTTGGTAGTGGTGTTAATGGTTTGATCATTGAAGGAGATCAAGTTGGCATCAACATCACTATTGAATGGAGTTGTGCGTAAGTTGTACCGTGTTTGCTAATTATAGTATAACTTGTAATGTATTGTACTTGGGCCTATTCCAAATCCTCGGATATCAATCTAATCCGAAAATTTCAGATATTCAAAATCTTTCGGATTGGATATTGCGGTATCCGTTATCTAATATTAATTACAATTGGTTAATATTTAATGATTGTTCTCTAATTTTATCCCTAAGTTGTAAAGATATTTTAACAAAATATTAGTCTTTTTTATTTATCATCAAATGACTATTCAATTGTCACATGATGCCTAGTAGGCAGTAGATAATACATAATAAAGTCCATAAGTTCAATCATTAAATGACCATTATTGGCACAAACATGAATAAAATGTGATTTAGCTTGAGAAAAGTTATACTTCCTCTATTTCTATTTATTTGACCCATAGTCTTTGACACAATATTTAACAAGAAGGGAGAGAATTTGTAGATGGTGACCCTTAGTGCACATGATTTACTTTATTATCCTCAAATGCTGTCGGGAAAGTCTAAGTACATACCGGACATACCAGAGTATGTTAGTCAATTTCTGTGAAATTTAATGTCAGTAGTATATTTCATATACCATTAGAAACATACACTAATAGAAAACAGGCAAATTTCGACGGACTTGTTCCGACAGACACGAAATTCCGTCGGATATTTCCGACGAATTTAAAAATTCTGTCGGAAATCCATCGAAAATTTCCGACGGAAATAAATTCCCTCGGAATATTTGTTCTTTCCAACGGAATATTCCGTCGGAAATTGTAATTTCCGACGGATTTATAGTCCGTCGGAATATCTTCTGATGGAAATTTCCGTCGGAAGATTATTAAAAAAAAAAAATTAAAAAACCCCAAACCCTTAAGAAAATCGGAACACCTCCTTTTATTTCCCCTCTCGTTCTCCGCCTCTTTCCCCTCTCTTTCTCCTTCCCCTTCCTTCCACTTCTGTTTTCTCCTCTTCTCTTTCTCTCTCCTCTTCACTTCTCCTTCCCCCTATGTTTTTTCTGAATCTCTTTCTCTTCTCCTTCCCCTTCTGTTTCTCTAAATCTCTTTCCCCTTCTCTTTCCTCTTATCTCTCGTCTTTCTCGCCTCCTTCTTCTCTCATCTTCTTTCCCCTCCTTTTTTTTGTAGTGTTCATCCTCTTCGACCACCGCACTGATACCTACCACCAACGACACCAACAGCACCGACAACCAACAACCACCGCCGCAACAACACCACTGGCAAGCATCTCAAGGTTTTCACAACACCACCACCGCGAAACACGGCCACTGTCGCAACAACACCAAGGTTTTTTTGTAGATCTAGTTTTAGTTAGTGGATTGCTAAACATCGCCCGCAAATTACCATATAAAGCCCACAAATATGACTTGGTGTGACAATTATGCCCTTTTTCTAAAATTGAACAAATCTCGATTTAAATACCGTGTTGCTGCGGGATTCCATTTTCTAAAATTGAACAAATCTCGAATTAAAAAAAGTGAAGCCGTACTAACTCGCCGGGGGATTTCATTTTCTAAAATTGAACAAATCTCGATTTAAAAAATGTGGAGCCGTACTAACTCGCCGAGGGAGACCGGAGGGCAGGCCGGAGTTGTGGGGGACGCCGGAGGTACGTCGTCGTCGTCGGAAAACGAGGTAAGTCACCGTTAAAATTCCCGGTTTACCGTAGGGTGGCTCCGGCGCCTAGGGTGGACGGCCAAACCGTAGCACGGACGTCCAAGCCAGACGCCAGAACCACCGGACCGGCGTCCAGCCCAGACGCCTCAACCACCAGGCTGGCGCCTGGCCAGGACGCCAGTCTGCTGGCTGCGGCGGCCCTGCCAGGCGCCAGTCCAGTGGCTGTGGCGGCCCTGGCAGACGCCACCCTTATTTATTTTTTTTTTCCTTTTTTTTTTTTTTTTTTTTACTTCTTTGATTTTGTTGTTGAGCCTAATTTTTATTTTTTTTTTAAAAAAAAATAGAAAATGAGTTTTTTAAAAATTTCAAAATGGCTTTTTTTAAAATTAATTTTGAAAATTCGAAAATTCGAAAATTAATTATGTTTTGTTTTTTGTGTTAATTATGTGTAAATATAGAAATTAAATGTATTATGCGTTAAATGTATTTATTATAATATATAATTCATGCAGAATTATGGTGGAGACGGAAATGATTACAGTGGGATATTTGGACATGATGGTCCATTCGAAGAAGCTCAACAAGCGGTTGATTGGGCAAAACAAGTTGCAATTGCAGCTGGATTTTGCTTGGTAGTAGTAACTCACAAATCTCAACGGGATGGTAGAATGGATCGCATTTTGAGATGTGACCGTTATCGCAAAAGAGAAGAAAGAGATTTTCGTACAGCCACTCGGTTTGATACAAAGCGGAAAGGCTGTGGGTGTGAGTTCAGAGTAAAGGTGCGACAACTACGGAGTCGTGACGGTTGGGAAGTGATTGGTTACTCTAAATGGGGGTATCACAACCATGAGATGATAGTATATGAAGAGGGTCATCGACAGCTGAGCGGCTTAAGTCCTGCTGCGAAACTGGTTGTGAAAGAAATGAGTGATGCTCAAGTCAAGCCTGCTAAAATATTAGCATCTGTGTTAGAGAAATTTCCAGAAGAGCATCCAAACCGAAGACACATCTACAACGTCAGACAGCAACTCAGGTTTGAACGGTCAGAGGGAAGGAACCCTATACAGCAGCTGCTACACCAGGCACAATCACGTGGTTACCAGTTCTGGTTTGATTCTGATGAAGATAAAGCGGAGGTGACTCATCTTTTCCTTGTGCATCCTGATTGTGCTGATATGATCAAGTCTTGGCCATTTGTGATTTTGATCGACTCAACGTACAAGACAAACAAGTACAAGTTCCCACTGGTTGAGATCATGGGGATGACTCCAACGAACCAGAACTTTCTGATTGGTCATGCAATCATCAAGGATGAGACGGCTCCAAGTTATTATTGGGTCTTGGAGAAGCTGAGAAACTACATCGGGCCTAATGTTCATCCAGCAGCCATCGTCAGCGACTGTGAGGGAGGTCTCTTTGCCCCCATAGCAGAGCTGTTTCCAGAATCGAATCACTTATTGTGCACATGGCACATCAACAACTGCGTGAAAGTGAAAGCCTACAACCTTTTCAACAAGAATTTGGAAATGGCAGAGAGATTGGTGAACGGTAAGTGGCGGAAGATCCTACAGGCTACACAGAGGAAGCGTACGAGCGAGAATTGGCTAACTTCAGGGATTCGTACCAGTGGTGTCCGGCACTGGTGGACTATGTGATGCAGCAATGGGTCCCTCACAGGGAAAAGTTTGTCAAATATTGGACAAACCAGGTACTTCATTACGGGAACACTACAACATGTAGAGTTGAGAGCGCTCATAGAGCTACCAAGGACTGGATTGATTCATCGACCGCTGCTTTGGATACACTGTTCGATAGACTTAACAAGTCAATTGAAACTCAGAAGAACGGCATCAGGAACTCTGTAGAGGACTCCAGACGACGACATGGAACGATGTTTAGCCATTTCATATTTAAGATTCTCCATGGTCGTGTGTCGCACTACTGCTTGAGGTTGATTCTCGCTGAGCTGAACAGGATGAGGGACTTGGCTGACAAAGTGTATGCTCGGTGCGGGTGTGCTATTTCAGCAACTCATGGATTACCTTGCGCATGCACCATTCACCGCGTTATTACAGAAGAAAGGGCGTCGTTACATGTTGATCAGGTTCATTCATTCTGGCGGACGCTCGTTATTGGTGAGCATGCAGATACTCGGGTGGCCGACCGTGAACAGGAGGAGTTGGAGCAGTTTCGGGCGATGTACGACCGAGTGTCCTCCAGCCATCCTTCTATTATTCGTGACGCTACTCACGTACTTCATGACATGTTCCACACGTCTACCATAGATTTTGAGGAACCCGAAGGAGTTGACCGTCCTCGAGGTCGGCAACGGCGGAACAGGAGTGCGTTTGAGTATATTCGTGGTCTTGGTCGTGGTCGTGGTCGTGGTCGGACATTGTCATCTGGTCGTACTGAATCACACTCGTCTGTGAATATGCCCCTGAGGACTGGTACGTTTTGGTTTTTTTACATTGCACATTGTTTATACGGTTACTCCTGCCTTCTTAACTGTGTCTAATTATATGGTGAATAGGAAGAAACGACGTTGATCAGTTTCCGTACAAGGACAGGATACCTGCGATCATCATGCCGTACTTAGAAGGGTGGAATGATGTAGTCGGAGATGGTAACTGCGGATTCCGGGTCGTGGCTGATGTTTTTCAAATGGGCGAAGACAACTACGGTTTGGTGCGTCAGTTGATGTACAGCGAAATTGCCTCTAACCGAAACGTTTATCGTCAAGTGTACCAGGATGACTTGGATGGCGCTCTGCGGCGTATCTGGTGGGGAGGTGGACCTTGCGGTCAAAATCATTATTTTGACGCGCCCCTAGATCTGTTTGCCGTTGCAAACATTTACAAGTGCGCAGTCATGCATTTCGGGCTGGGATTGCATAG